TATTAAAATCTTGCCTACGTAATATTAATTAGTCTTTCTTAAGTAGGAAATAGTGCTTCAGTGGTTCAACGGGCAAATACTCACTAAACACGCCTCACATGGTGTGGGAGTGGATGTTTCCCACCGCCAACGCATTCCTAAGCCTTGCTAAACCGTTAGTGAACTCAGTAAAGAGTGTGAGATTATCAATCTCCCTCCCGCTCCGCGAGGGAGCCTGAAGTTCTGTGTTCCAATCGGAACATAAAAGAACAAAATGAATAAAGAAACTCAGTTGGAATTACTCAGATAGCGTCGTGACCATGTTTATCTAGCCACTTAGACATCACAGATGAATTTATATTTTTTATTCTTCTATTCTTTTGGGTTCCGAGTGGAGCATAAGGCTTCAAGGTTGAGCACTGGATTTTTAGTAACATTTGGTTTTGCATTTCTCCGGGTGGAGTTTGCTAATCTCACGCCTAAACTCTCCTCTTCACCTGCTCATTACTGGCTGAGGTTTCGGAGTGCATTGGTTGGGAATCCAACCTCGGACCATGTGATGCGTGGTTTGAAAGCGTCCTACCTGTCAAACCACAGCTGCATATCAGCGATAAAGCTGTCCGTAAAACGTTTATCGCGTTTGAAGCTGAACAAGCAGATAGGACACTCAGCGTCCATAATTTTTTTATTCCTTTACGTTTCTCGTGGAACATAGGGATTCAAGCTAGAGGCATAAAGTTTAAGTAGCGGTGGTATTTATTTTATGCGATGGGGTTGTTAGCCTCATGCCAAACCTTCCCTCTTTACCAGCCTTACTACTGGCTTGACGAGGTAAAGGAGTGTGTCAGTGGCCGGGGATCGAACCCCGAACTATGTGTCATTGACGCAGCGTCCGTAATTAGAAAAACACTAAAGTTGCTTTAAATGAACTTTTCCAGATATTTTTCGATGACAATGAATTAAATTTTATCTCAAGCACAGACTAAAGTCCAGTGATTCTTGGGTGATTGTTTGAAATCATGTTTTCCAGTAGTTGTTTTTTTTTTCGTTTTTACAGCGTTTGAATTAGAAGCATCCATGAGGAAAACTTTCGGACGAATAAACCAAGCACTTTTGTTTTAACTTAAATGGCAAAAAGAAAATTAGAAAGTCTGTTTCAAAACCTTGAAGATTTCATTCTTCTGAAGTATAAAACTTTCTGTCAACTGAATATTAATTAAAACGGTGAAATACGCAATTTATAGGAAGCTAAAACAAAGTAAAGAAATTCGATAAAGTCTTTCAGCTATGCAGTCAGAGTTATTGATTCAGAAGATGCAACGGAAGACAGAGACTCAAGGTTGTATGCAGCATTTTAATTGAAAGCAACCACCCTGAATAGTTATTTCATCACTTACACATGAACAAAAGAGTAGAAAATATTTCGTCTGTATCTCTTACGAAGAAGCACCAATATATCTACGACTACAATTCAAAGGTGATGTACATGTATGTAAAATAATAACCAACAAGTTGAGAAAATCAGTTGAAAGAACGTTTAATGGTGCCAGTAAGCTGTAGCTTATGTTTTTCATACAATCGGTTGTGATTCCGAAATTGAAAGATGAAGGGCTTGGGTTAAACACATCTAGGGGTATCAAACAGTTGGAGCGCTCCTATGAAGCCGGTTATGTTGGCCGTTTTCTCTAGAAGCTTGATTTTTTGTCCTCGGGTGCACCTACTACTATGTTTAAATAAACGTATTGTTAAAACCATCAACAGTTCTATGTCAGATCACCTCATTTAAACAAGCTGCAAAGCTAGCTATCATTCAAGAGTCTTCCTCTATCATCTATCGTATATCGAATATATTGCCAAAGGCCTCCATATGCCGAACACTCCATACAGCAGAGGCCGTAGCTATTCGCCTTAATCCGCCGGAACTCTGCGTGTAAAAGAAACAGGTTCAGCCGGTCACTACTGCTACCATGGCTCACTGTCAAACTAATTCATGAATTTTTTAGTTTAGATGGTTGGAGGCAATTGACAGTAAGCCCAGCTTGACCTAGGTTTCGTGCTAGTTGACACTCATCAGCAAGGCGTATCTGCAACCTTGAAGGAACTCATGTCCCTTCTGAGATTCGAACCCGCGTCACCCAGTGCTGCAGTCAGAGACGTTACCACTGAGCTATTCAGGCTCGCGACTGACCTGACTAGTGTGCAATCAATAATATCCAATACAGTCCTACAGGAGGTCAGTCGCGAGCCCGGATAGCTCAGTCGCAACGTCTCTGACTTCAGCACTGGGTGATGCGGGTTCGAATCTCAGAAGGGACATGAGTTCCTTCAAGGTTGCAGATACGCCTTGCCAACTGATGAGTGCCAACTAGCACGAAACCTAGGTCCAAGGCTTCCTGCCGATTGCCTCCAACCATCTAGTACCAACAGTTCACAGTGCACCGTAATGGCGAGCCACCTAGCATGGTGGCCACATTGCAAACATGACTGATAGAATTCAGTCTGCACCGAAGATAGGACTAGACACATTACACTAGTTACTGACTAGTGTGCAATCAAAAATTCATGAATTCTGTCTTACTTCTCTGAATTTATCTGATATTCAGTCAGTTTAGTGTTATATTAATGTGATTTAAAACAGTATTAATATTTTCAGTAGTTTAGTTCGTAAGGATTAGATTTGTTTATACGTGATTGACCACGGATTGATATCAGTTAGAGAAACAGGACAGAGTTTCCTGGAGTTCTAGTGAGAAGTTGTGACCAGTGAGGTCCATCCAGTCAAGTGTGAGGACTGATATCCCACCGATGACATTGGTTGGTGGTCACACTAAATCACGAATTGTTAGAAGTTAGAATTCATGCAGTGGTCATTGAATCTGGTCCCAGTGGTTGAATGGTATACGAGCTTGCCTTGTAATCGGAAGGTCCTAAGTTCAAACCCTGTTGGTGGGTGCGTACTGTCGATGATTCCCAAACTAGGATGAAACAGCCATTCAGTACTCCCTGGTTTTCAGTGGTTTTCCAACTGATATCAATTCGTGGTCAAACTCGAATCAGCATTAATATTGTTAGTAAGAAAATTTCTTCAGTTATAATGGTCCTACAAATGCAGAACGTGATGAAGAATTTGTCGAAAGGAATTTTGTTTGTTCATTAATCAGTCTCTGAAATTCTAAGCGGACATCTTCAATGAAGGAGAGAAAGAATTAATTAAGAATTTCGTGCATATCAATAAACTCACACTTTCATTGAAAACTCTCACATTCTCAATACCTTTGGTATAACCAAACTTCCGTAAATAAAATTGCTTTCTGATTATTCTTCCCTCTTAGCCTGAGGTTGACACCAGTAACTGGTTTATCGTCTGTGGTTTATTTTATGGCACTTTAATGAATAAGGATCTGTGATTGTCACCTCGCGTTCATGAGTCCTGAAAAGAGGGAGATGCATGTCCTAGATCCCAGTTCTACCCACTACAAACCAAGTAATGTTTTATGCTGTTTCTTCAAACTGACTTGCTAGATAAAACGTTTTCTTAGACCCACGCTAAACGTAGTCAACCACTGTCAATGCTTAAGATCATCTAATCACTACCAATTACTGTTATAAATGGTTTCCAGGCGTGGTTGACAGAGGTATTAGTAGATAATGGGACCAGAGCCCTACACATAATAGAACACCATTAGACCATATGTGTTATTACAGGGGTGACCTTGTTGATTTCTTCCAACTTGATTTTTGTTTGTTTATTTCCTCAATTCTTTATAACTCTCATGTAGTTTCCTATCTTCTGTCATTTCTATGCGCATGCTGATTATAACTCATTCACATTAAGTTGCTCTCGACAATCTCAGACGTAAGACTTCACTAGCCACGTCCCCATTAAATTGCAATTTGTTTCATTTTAACTGTTTTCAGTTTCTCTTTATTGTGCCTGGTGTTCATGTGTCTCTTTACAAATCCGCTAGGATAACCCATCTGGACCAGCGTATTTTGGATGTATCCTGACTCATTTTCTAGGGAATCATCTGTACAGATCAATATTTTGTTATCATTATAATCATCGTTATTAATGTTGGCCAAAACATTTACCACATTATTATTATTTGATCCACAAAATCACCATCATTGGTTAAAATTGTTATATATAAATCTATGTAAATTAGAGTAAAGCTTGAGGAGGATCTAATTGAAAACAGCAATATTGTTCGCTAATATGTCTTGTTCTAATATCAACAATGGGAATATTTAAAAATACACTTGTTTTGTTGTCTTCATTAATATCTATTATCGTTCTGTTCTGCAGTGATTCTGAAGAGTCTAATTATGGATTCACTGACTATACTACTCAAGTCAAAATCTCAAGGGGGAGAACACAACTAAACCAAATGTGCTACATATTCGTGTCCTTTAATTAAACAATAGAACTGCGTAGGTGAATAATAGATTTTATTCAACTACAGTGATTTGTGTGCGTTGGCGGCACAGCGGTAGAATATTCGCCGGACTACGTATGCGATCCGGTGTTCCATCCCCGGCCACCGAACTTTACCTTGCTAACCCAGTAATAAGACTGGTAAAGATGGAAGGTTGTGCATGAGGCAAGCAACTTCATCCCGTAAAAATAAACACCACTGCTACCGAAACGTCTAGCCTCTAACTTGAAGCTCAATGTTTCACTGGGATTGTAAAGGATTAAAACAAAATAACAGTGATTTGGTTCTACCATATCCACATGCCTAATATTTTAATTAAGTAATGTTCTCTGAGATGATTGATTTAATTGCGAAGCCTTCGTTGTCCTTCTGGACAACGTCTTCAGCTCAATTTTTTAATATGCAGTGAGCTTCTTTTGAGTTCTCCATAAATGATACAACTGTATCTTCTCACAACCTTCTTTGTCGTGAATGTTTGTAAATTTGCATCTGCCTAACAATGTGGTTTAAGGTAAACGAATTCACAAATAAACATAAACATGTATCAGAAAAAATAGAAATTATTTGAAGCCATTAATCACTTACCATATAGGTTAAGTAAGAAATTTTTGGTAATGATTGATTGATAACAAATTTGAAGGCAACAGAAGTTAAAAATAGCGTAAATGATAGTTGAAGTCTGTTTTCAGGTCGTTCTGGTGGTACAGCGAATGTAGCGAATGACAGTCCAGTAATAAAGAACTGAAAAACGAAAGGAAAAATAAAAATGAGCAGTTGATAACCTCTTGTTACTAGTAAATAGTTATGAGTCTTGTTTGTGTATATTATAGGGTAAATATTGAAAATTGTGGAAAATATCCATCAGAACAAGAACAAGAAGTCAAACAAACAGATGTCTTTCCGGCAGATTCACCCTCAAAACCTGTAAAATCACGTTTCACTGGCCCACTACGGTATCACAGAACAGTTTGCAGCACTGATTGCTTGCAAGAAAGACTCTTATTTCTCAAAAATATCTCAGTCCAAAATGGATACCCAACAGGTTTCTGGGAAAAGAACTGTATATGAATCCGGACTTCAGTTAGAGACTTAGTGACAGATATCCTAAAGGAGTAGAATCTCTAGTTTCCTAAAGAAGTCCTTCCCTGCAGCAGCTCTAAGAGTGATATTCTCTAGCCCTTTTACTGCTTCAGAGAATTAGGAACGTCAGCCTCTCATACATGACCACTCCAGTATGCATATATCAGTTCACCTGCTCCTGCACAGTTAGATAAATAGATCGTTTTATGCGCGTCTTTTCAAAATGTGCTACAGAACAAAACCCGGTATGGCTGCAAAGAGGAAGCACTGGTTCAATCAGAACCGCCATAATTGAACACTTCGTCAACACCTGCCGCAGCAGCTCAACTGACTTATTACTCAGAGTCGTTTACAAACAAGGACGAAAATCTACTAAAGGCAGTGTGTTTCCAACTCATATGCACTTCGGAAAGCATCGCTATATGCATTGAAAAAGCAGTAGCTATATGTTCATAAGAAACTAGTCCAACTTCTATATTTTTATTATAGATCTAGTTCGATTAAACTTCGTAGTTTTCATTTTTTTTCTTTCTATTCCGATCACTTTTTTCCTATTTCAGTTTTTTCTATGGATATTCCGTTCACAGGTATTTTCTAATTCTATGCAATTTTGTTTCTATTCTCTCCGTAATTTATATTCACACCTTCAAACTTTCATATCAAGTGCAGAATTCTTATCACCTTTAATCTCCTTCGTCGTTATTCTGTGAAATTTAAAAAAAATTATAATTGTGTCTGTGCAAACTTATGTGTATAAATGCTATTACACAAACGCTTCGGAGGATGAAATCGCCAGAAAGATATATATTTGCCAGCTTTCTCTTTCTTTTCTGTCGAATATTGAAAAGGTATTAAATGTAAATCTCCTATTCTATAAAAGTTGACTGTCTTGAATATCATTGAATCAATATGAATCATAATTAATTCCAGGAATTCTACTCCACTTACCCATAGAATGTTATCAGCTGAAGACATTTTTTTGAGTCCATAATCAGTCTCGAAGTCAATCAGATACCTTTAAACCAGTACCTGAAAATCAATCTTGTGCCTACTAGTGACTTATTACAAGATGAAACTACCTAAAGTTCTGGTGGAAAGTCGTAAACGGAGGAGTCGACCAAATACAAATACTCACCGATGAAACTGGCTGGAGGTCACCCTCTAATGCGAATTCACTCATCAACTATTCGATACCATCTGAGTGATTTAATGATAATCAAAGTCGGCTTGTTAGTTAAGGGGCCTGCGTTCGACCCCTGGTGATATCATGGGGGCGTACTGCTGAAGAGTCTAAAACAATGATGGAATGACTGTTTAGTACTTCATGCTGATTTTCAGTGGTTCTGTAACTGAATTAAGTTCGTGACAGGTCTTGAAATCAAAATGAATGCCTGCAAACTATTACATGAGAAATCGTTATTACTAATATACATCGTTTCACATAATTCAGTTGACCAAGCGGCCAATACTTGTCACAGACCAGCGAACCAATTAGGCCTAAATGTTTCCTCACCTTTTATATATTACGGTATATTAAAAATTCGGACTCAAATGAACACATTTCATTCAAAATTACTTCATGCGATTTGAACAATTTGTTAACTAACCTGAATATGTGTCACACACATCCATACGCCCACAGCTGCTTCAGTTTAAGAATACATGTTATTTAACTCTTATCCTGACCCTATTCATCATCTGTACTAATGCCAGGTTCCTACTAAATATGAAATAATACATTGTCATGGTGCATCCATGATATCTTCTGTAAATTATCATCATACTTTTCAGTTACACAATAATTTCTGTGACCATTGCCAAAATTGATGTCAATGATATGGAAATCAGCTGTGACATTAAGTGTCTTGGACTAATTCTTTCTTGTGATCTATCTTTGTCTTCCCACGTCTTAGCAATTTCTAAAAAAATATATTAAGTCTGACATTTTACAATAAGAAGTTAAGACAGTTGGGCATAACTCAAAGCCTCCTCTTACAGTCTGTCAACTCTTGTATCCTACTTATTCTTCTTTACTGTTCACCCTTATTCTTTCCTGGGTTCCTTAAAAAAGACTGTCATACTTTGTAAGAACTGTCAAGACTATCAGTAGGGCGACCAGTATCACAATGGGACATACCGTTGACATCGTCAATGATAGACACTTGATTTCATGCAGCAAATTTCTCAGACGGATTTTATCAGACTGCTAGCATCGACTTTACCCGCAGCTTTCACCTTGTGTCTCCCGCTCAGGTGAAACAAGAAGTCATTACCAAAGACTATGCGCGTAGGTCTAAGTATAAAAATCCCACGATACCATCTTTGGCGGCATGTATTTTATGTGATGAGAATATTATCAGGGACGAATTAACTAACTAACTAACCTTCTTTCCACTAGTAAATAAACAATTTTCTTCACCTTTATAACATCAAGCTTTACTATCATTCGTCTTCTTATATTTATAATTCTCACAATTTTTCTGTTTTGCTTATTTTCTGATAAGTGTAGACATCATTTAGGCTTTGTAATAATTATAATTGTTTTGTTTTCCCTTCACCATGCTATGTGTATCAAGAGAACAACGGATTCAGTAGTCTATAACATGCCTAAATTTTCATACTGTGTCGACATTATCCTTTGAAACAAACCCACTGTTATTATAGTTGTTATTCTCATTTTGTACTTTGCACATTTCTGACTTAATTCCTACTGTGAATATGGATAAATTCCTGTGGTTAATTTAAGTTATATTTCGAGTAACTTAGATGCCGTATTGCAATAAATGCTGAGAATTCTACTCACTGTAGTAAGTGCTGTTTTTGGAATAAAGCAGATTATTATTAAAGGATCAGTCATTGAGAGTCAATTGGAATCAAGAAGAATTTTAGTGGAATAATAAAAATAAATTGTGGAACTAAGATTAAAGTGTATAACGGTAAGATATTATGGTGCCGATAATCAAGTTATCGTTACAAATGAAAATAAAAATAATATTTACAGTTATCTGGTGTCACCAGGAGAGTAAACTATTCCAGGTTGTTATCGAATGACATGAGAGGGAGAGGGACTGAACAAACATTTTCTGAAAACAAAGATTGGGCAGGATAACACTAGCTCGTTCTATTTCGTCGCGGATTCTCTTCAACCGCATATAACCTAAATGAACCAATTATATCTTACAAAAAGGTATCTGAACATTCTTTTTACAGTGATTTGAAGTCATAGATAGAAAGTATAAGTAACATAATTTCAAAGATGATGCAAATAGATAAGTATTTATTGTTGAAAGAGTAACTGTTTATACAGTAATTAGACAAATGGGTGGAGTTCTGATTTCTCTTGGACACAAGGATGGACTAGCGACCAAATACAATATAGAAAAACAGGGTTAATTTATCCATATTTTGATGAGGAGTTCAGGAGAGTGGGGATGAATAGTAAAGTAAAATTAAAAATAGATAAAATAATCTAATTTAGTAGATTTGGAACCTTAAAAGTGAGTTCAACTCAGTGAGTCAGAATAAAAATGAAGAATGAGTGGAATGTTATGCAGTAGAACAAAACACAACAGCATACGAACAAACCACTTTTGGTTGCCAGGGTAGTGAGCGATTAGTCACACTCTCCTTCTGTTTTTTGATGGCAATGGCTTCTGAAAACCGAAGTGTGCATGCTTTTCTTTATATGTTGATTCCTTTGAAAGCCTGATTAATTTCCACTGGATGTCCCATGTCAGCTAGGTGCCTGACAATTGCTGCCTTGAAAAAGCAGACTTTTAGGGATATGCTTGGAGAATCTAGCAGACACTATCCTCTCAGCCCATTCTGTGTGCCTGCTTCCACACAGCATTTTCAATGAACCACCACTTCCCAGATCTCAACATAAAAAGAAGAAATGATAGGACAGTTGAAAAATCCATCTACAGCAAAAAGAAAGTTGGAAGCTGATGAAAACATTCTTCAGAAAAGCTAGGGCGTTGTCTTCAGTAGATAAGATCAAAGAGGAAACATTCATATAGACAAAACGACCTGGGAAGTCCATCGTCACCTTATTCAGCACTGTCCGATGTGGGTGCTTAAACGAGTCGTAAAGTTAATCAGGAGTTTAGTATTGGCACACCCTTTGGATACGGAGCACAAGACTGATCAACGTTCAGTCTTTACAATCCTACTCAAAGTCTCACCTCAATTCCATATTTTTCTACGCCTTCGATTACCATGGGTAGTGAAGGCAGTTGCCGTAAAGTGTTTTCAGCCTGATCTTTGTGTTCAGAAAAGACATGTTCAATCCCCCACCTTCCCATGGCCCTGAGCCGCGACTCAGAATAATTATCCATGTTATAATTATTATTCTACTTACATTTTCCTTGATTCTATTTGGTTCTATTGATCCACATTGTTTCTCAAATCTCTATGACTGACTGATATTTCATTACGTGATTGTGAAGGCTGACGAATGCTTACCGAAAATACGTATTTGTTTGCTAGCTTAAATAGTGTTCTAAAATTATCTCAGTGGGAATTTTTAAATAATATCTATGTTATCAACCATTTTTGTAAACATTATTCAAAACAAGAAGGTGGGTAAACATATCTACTAAATTAACTAATCATTTCAAATATTATGTGACTTGGGTTAGAAAAAAAATGGTTGACGCTAC